AGGGATCTTTTTTTGTACCCACTGATGTCATAAAAATAAAATGTACTTAAGACTACTTAGTTGAAAGACAAAGGGTTAACCTTTCAATACTCAGTTGAAGATTTGCTTTGTTTTACAGTCTTAGTAAACCCTTTACAGCTGTGTGATAACTACATCTTCTTGTTTGAACAAACACTTTATTTAAATGAATGTCTAATAAAATAAGCTATCATCTCCACAATCACAAGAAAAGTGTTTGTACTGTAGCATAAGTTAAATGTGGACAAATATCAAACATATCCTGTTAGACATTTGAAAGAAACTGTTTAAAGAAAGGTTAGTAATGGAAGGTAAAATTTTAAGACGAGTTGGTCAAAACTAAAGGTCAATTGTAAACAAAATCAAGTCAGTTGCTATAGTTACAGCAATGTTTATTGATCAAACATTTGTAAACCAAAACAGGTGACAACACAGTAAACAAACACTGTCTAATGATGTTTTACATCTGGATTGTGTAGCAAATGGTGTGAGATGTAACACAGTAACAAACATCTGTCCAGTAACCGAGACAGTAACAAACATCTGCCCAGTAACCTAGACAGTAACAAACGTCTGCCCAGTAACCTACACAGTAACAAACATCTGCCCAGCAAGTGATACAGTGATAAACATCTAATGAATAATTTATATAGTATCTATTAACACGTTAACTTTCCTAGTTAGTTCAATACAACAATCATACAAACATAATATTTATATGTCAACAAAATGTGAATGGACATGTGAATGTATGTGATCCAGAGTTGTATGGTTGTGAACAAACACCATTCTTATAAAGACAGTATGTGAAGAAAGCCTAGCATATGGCTAGCAGAATGGTAGATTTGAAGTAGTTGTAATATAACAGATACAATAATTGCTAACAGATATCAATCAAGCTATCTATAACTCATTGCTAGCAGGATGGTAGTTTTGAACTAACAGATACAATAACAGCTTACACATACTGATATCATATCAATCTAGTTATATAAGTTTTTCACTAACAGATACAATAATGGCTTACATGTACTGATATTAATCTAGCTATATAAGTTTTGTAATAACATATACAATAATTGCTAACAGATATCAATCTAGCTGTAACAGATTGCTAGCAGGATGGTAGTTTTGTATTAACAGATACAATAATAGCTATAACAGAACTGCCATTCTCCTCCCCTCCCCACCTATGTATGTGACATCACTCATGAAGTATCTAACATGACAGTAGTCTTACAGTGTTTACACTTGCAACATGTATACTAAACATGTCTAGGAAAAAAACTCGCAACTAGTAACCATACATGTTCTATGGGAACATAAAACATGAACTTGTGAATTTGTTCCCTAAACATGTATAATATACATGTTCCTAGTGTAAATGTGGTGTTACTACACCAGTTACTACACATTTGACAATGTATCAGTCCAGCAGTAACAAACACAAGACAACAAAAACAGTTCTCAAACTGCTTCAATCACACTACTTTCTTTACAAAGATTTCATGAAATGGCCCAAGTGTTAGTACACAGATAACTATGGTTGCGGTCTTCAACTGACTGTACACAGTTGTAGACAAATTAAAAAACATACTTGTAATCTGGAGTTGGTGACAACACCATCGCCAGCTCTACTTTGTCCTGTAATTGAAATAACCACCAGGGGAGGGGAAGAAAATTTTAACAACATCTCTAACTCTGTGTACAAGCCACATGTACAGGAAATCTTGGCAAAGGTTAAATGTAAATATTCTTCATACATGGACATACAAGGCTGTTGTTAAGTCTCATTACAATAAAACAAATTTCTAAAAGGTAATAACATAGATATGTGGTTATCTGTTACAAAAAAGAGACATGGATTTTAACATTTTTTTTATCCATTTAATTTGACTTACATAGTACCATTACTAGTTATACAATGATATCAAGGGGATCATAATTTTTTTAAAGTTATAAATATATAACAAGGACACCATGCGTTAAAATTTAAGACAACAAAAAATAAAACATTAAAGCGCACTCAAGAATGCTAATGTCTACAGAAAAAAAACAATCGACAAAATTTAAAACAATTTTTTCTTAACAAAGCCACTAAGTGGTATCTCAAGACTTCTGTACTTTCACACCTTTAAATATACAAGGCTTGGGTTCAAATCCCAGTCCCAAAGCTGGGGTATTGAATGTAAACCTTTCTGTTGGTACAGGTTGGGGGGGGGGGGGGGGGGGGGTGGGGTGTGTGCCAATAATTGATTTGGACACATGGTAGAGGCCTCAATAAAGGTGCTTTACCAACAAACAAATGTAAATGTACCTTTATCTGACAGGTAACATGTATGTACCTGTATCTGACAGGTAACGTGTGTAAATCTACCTGACAGGTAACATGTATGTACCTGAACTGACAATCACAAGCTTCTATCACATGGTCCAAACATCACAAACATCCACAGACTTCACATTATTACCACAAAAAGTAGCAAACATCTTTTTATTTCAACATCACGAGAAATTTTAAAAATTAAATTGGCCAATTCGTTACACACATTTTATAACAAATTGATTTAAAAGGTGGTATTATCCCCTAAAAGTAGTTCAAATGAAATAATGTAAAATGTTAACCTTCACATTGTAAAAAGTTGATTAAAACTTATTAGTAAAAATTTAAATCTCAGAACCAATAAAGATAAATAAAAATCCCATCATAAACTCAACGAATTCTATAAAACTTACAAAAAAATGTATTGTTGTGTTAAATTCTTATCTATCTGATGACTTTATTTTAACCCTGAGAAGTTTCATCAGTTTTGTTTGTTTATGATTCTATTTATATAAAAATCAGGACTGGATTCTCCTATGTAGACCAGACTCCCATTTTAACTTATGTGGGAATCTGTCTTAGACAAGGTAATCAAGGAAATAGTGTATGGATTTGATATGTACAGATGAATGATGTATGATACTAGCTCATCAACTTCTAAATATACATTTTTAATTGTTGATACATTTTCTTCAGTTAGTTAATCTTTACTTGTAATGGATAAAACAACCATTAATCACATCATGCTTTTGGTCATAGAATTATTACCAGTACCTTGGCTTAACCTGGACAAAATACTTTTACAAGAAGTAGGCCTACTATACAGTAAATTTAAAAAAACTCAATATAGTTCAGTATAGTCGTAGAAAGATGACATAATTAAAAAAAAATTTAATTTTTTCTCTTAGAACAATATTATAATAATTAAGTTATTAAATTTAGTTTGTTGAGTTTTTAAAATAAATAATCAGCAATAAATATTAATTATGGTAGTTCAGATTGCATTATGGGTATGATAAAAGACGTAAAATTCCATAGTAACATAATGTATGATATTTAATGTTATATGCTAGCGGAATGATGAGGCGTCCTTATATGTGCATTTGAATGATAATGACAAGTCTCAAGACACATTACGTCATATAAGACACACCATGACAGGTCACGGTTCACACAGACCTTGAGCGCGGCCATGTGACACCACTGAGCTGAATATTGGTCCATCGAGATTGAAGGCAGTAGTCTAGAATCATCAACTTTGAGTTTACTTGGTCTGCTAAAATCCACAACTTTAATTGCTTGTGAAAAAATGATGCAAGTGATCACTACTGTTACTTTCAGACTTGATGGAGGTTTCCGATATGTCGCCGTCATTTTCCTTCTTTAAGAATGTCTTAGACTGCACGGCCGCGGTCGCTGTTGCATGTGTGAGGAAGAGGTCCCGCAGAACCCCCAACTCTTTATTTAAAATTGTCGCTTTCTGTTCCAGGGCCTTGTTCTCCTCACGCAGACGCGCCACCCTCTCCATGGTGTCCTTGGCCTTTTGACGACTGGCTTCCCGACTTTTTCTGACGGCAACGTTGTTGCGCTCTCGTCGTCGCTTGTACTCATCGCTGTTCTTGTCCAGTTTTTGTCGCTTGCTCCCACGCTTCTTCCCAGACTGGGAATCCCCTTCAGATTCCGAGTCATAAGACTCGTACGTTTTCTTCGGAGGCATTCTGTAAGCTGTGTGGAGTAAGATAGTAGGCTTATAAGTTATTAAGTAATGATTTCTTTATTTTTTTGAATAATTGAAACATTTTTTAGACTGCACTCTGAATATTAAAATTTCATTAGTAAGTTATAAAAAAAATGTAAGTTATATATGTAAAGTTGCCCTTTCAGACCAGAAGGTGAATAGGCCAGGTAAAGTAGAATTCATCTGTTTCTGAGACAGCTGCATATGAATGGGTTGTGTGCCTAGTGCAATGCATAGCTTTCCCTAAAAGTGAGTACTTAACGGAGGTTTGTGGATTGAGGGATGGCCTGCAAATCTGAGATAAAACTCCAGACTTTTGGGTAAACAGTTCAACGTCCTACCATCTGGCCCTCCTATACAATAACCTCCATACAAATTTGATGTTTTTATGTCATTAATTATTTTCTTAACTAAACAATAATTTCATAAAAATATAAATGTTTTTTTTTGTGTACAAAATGGTAGACCGTAGGTAAAAATTAATTTTAAACATTGTATTTATCAACATTAATTGTGTAAATATTATATTTTAAGGTTGTTTTTTAAAGAACTAAACTAAAATATTATTCAACAAATTTTTAAGTCTGTGGGGTCATCTATAAATGACGTCACCCTTTTAACCTCCCCCCTCTCCTCCATCAAACGGCGTCACAAAAGGCCAGACCTCCCCCCCCCCCCCCTAAATGACGTCACACCTCAGCTTACAACCCCCCTTAAAAGTGCAGTTGAATTTTTCTTAAAACGTCGAAATTTTTCCAAAATTTTGTCTGAACTCTATCAACAAAGAATATATTAATCAATTTCTATTACCATTTATTTAAAAAGTTTTCTAAAACGCGAAATAACTGCTAAGATACTTTTTTTTTTAAATAATGCAAAAGTGTGACGTCACACCATCTGAAGTCCCCCCCTCCCCCTAGTCACACACTGTCACAAAATTACGGAAGCCCCCCCTCCCCCTTCGAGTGTGATGTCATTTATGAACGACCCTTGTGTTTACAACCAGCTACTACAATGTCCAACAATAAAAACTTTCAGAAGATTGATGTGTTAGGTTGCTAGTAGTAAATTCTAATCTAAAGTTTAGTATATGGTCAGAAATTAGGGTTAAGATAGTGGTTAGGGTTTGTATTGATATCAGCAAGTCATATTTGTATTTAGTCAACTAATCTAACACCTCTTTTTAAAGATTTTATAATTGTGGCATTATCGGACACTAGAATAACACATACTTTAATTAGTGAAGCATTGGCCAATGATTTCTTAAAAACACAATAATGCATCTGTTACAATAAAAGAACCTTAACTGTTGAATGGTTATCAAAAAATAAAATTAATTGCATCAATTTAGCAAAATAAAAAAAAATAGAATATATATGCTACCTGAAAATTAGTTCATAAATGTCATTATGTAGCCTCCCCCCCCCCCCCCCCCCCCCCCCGATTGCTTCACTAACTTTACAAAATGTAACCTAAAAGTTAGCTTTCATAATCTGCGGCATTAGTCATTAGGCTGTGCGGTGGATTAAAATGTGTGTGTTTTGTTTATTTTTAAATAACCCACTATCACTAGGCTTAGGCCTATAATCTTTATAGCTAGGCCTATAGCTAAACAATTTCAATGTTTTTAAAAAAAATAAGTGGACATTGAAAACTAGATCTAAATGTCTTCATTTGGCCTATATTACTAAATCAGTAAATAGGTCTACAAAATTATTTAATTCAACGAAGTGACTCTCAGAAAAAAGATTTTTCGCCCTAGCATCTCCATCTGTTCGGCAGAAGTTATGAAACTCAATAGTTCTGCGCATGCGCATTGACCTTAATAGATGCGCTAGGGTTAGGGTTATGCAGGTTTGTTTGTAAATACACGCATGTGCAGTATCATTGTACACATCGCAGCAAAGGAAGCCGGTAGTTTCTCTCCATTGCGCATGCATATCTTTTTCCGGCTAGAATTACCTTATTAATTTAATTGGGCTGAATCTTACTGCAATTTTTTTAAGGCAGTATGTACTAGTGTAGAGATGTTGCATAAGATTTATTAAGTAAAGGAAGGGTAAGCATAAATTGCATAAGTCTACTCTAACTCTGTCCTAAGTCTAATACTGACTAACACTGTGGCTTACTTTTTTTACTTAATATTACTAGATCTAGTCTAGATCTAGATCTAAAAAAACTAAGTGGTGGGTGGAAGATTTTAATTTTTAGTTTAGTAACAGCAGTAACAGATTGACTGAGATTGAGTAAGCCGGTCAAGAGTTTAGAATAGTTTAGATCTTAGTTATAGATTAATATCAGAAGCTGTATTCTATAACTTTGAAAACTACTCTAGTGTGGAATAAGAAATTTTAGTAAATCTATAAGGGTGGAACAACATGTTGCGCAATACTAGACTAGGCCTACTATGGGGCATTTCACGAATAACAGGTGATCAGACACGGAAGCCAGCTGATCGCACTCATAGTTGACTATGGGTCCAAATCTATTAATCTAATAATTACACTAGATCCTCTATATCTGTTACATTTTGTAAAAGATAATAATACTGAACATACTCACACTTCAATAATTAATAATTTGGAGGGATACAAGTATGATATTAGACTTTTAAAAGCTGTTAGGCAAACGTTTTCTCACTCAGAAAATTTCTTCAACTCTACCACTAATGTCTAAAAATAGTGTATTTCTCTGATGCAATGGTAACGTACTGCATCGACCAATGAAATGTTTTTTTCGACGGATGTTCGGGCTGTTTGCTTATAATATAGTATTTTATATAAAATAAATGTTATTACAATTTTAAAATATTTTAATATCTTTGTAATTATTATTATTGAAATTATTTTTAAGTTCCAAAATATTTTTAAAAATTTAACGTTCATTGAGCGCAGAATGCAGCTAAATTTAGAAAGGGCATCCCTCAGAGTGGCAACCGAGACAAGAGTTTTTCAACAAAATGAGGGTTTCCTACAAGGTCACAATTTGCGTCACAGCAGTCTAACCAATGAAAAAGCGAGTGACGTCTTTAGCTATTAATATAATGGCTGCATCACACTGCGGTATTTTCTTGTAAAATTCCGCACAAGTTCATATTCATTTGATTTGATAGATGCAAATAATTATTTTTCAAATGTTTAACTGAAAGTTTAATACATAATTTAACTTTTTATTATCAAATAAATCTTTGTGTTTTATTTAATTTGTTGGATAAAAATATCTTAATTATATGTTTAGAAAAATAGAAATGGGCGCGCATGAATACACGTCAGAGACGCTTAATACGTCAGAGGATTCCCTCCGTCTGGCATATAAAGCCTGTGCCCGACTCGGAAACCCAACAATCTAGGCAACAACTCGGGTTTTACTAGTGGTGTTTTCAATTCATAGGCACTTCTTATATTCTAACGAATTGTTTTCATTGTGAATGTGTATACACTAACCGGCAAAATTGAGTCGGTGTTATCTGACTACATTTCATCTTTTGAAGTGTTACAAATGGATTTAGGACTGTCCAGCACAGCTGTACAACAAAAGGCAAAGAAATATCCAACAATCGGTGAATTGATGGATTCACTGCAACTGCCCGATTTCTTCAATGGTGCTAGCAGCACCAAAGGTGAGCTGGCTTCTTACGCTTCTAAGATGTTTTATGTGGAGTCAATCGATTGCTCTCCGCTCGATGTACTTGACCCAACACTTGAACGTGCGCTTGACCTGAGTGAGTACATATGTCAAGACTTTTTCGACCATCACAGAAACAACTTTTCTACTCAAATTTCCTCAGATTTCTCGGAACTCCAGAGCCTTCCCCAGGTCGTGCTAGGCGCAACAGCTGTTGTCCACGACGGGAAGTACCCATGCGAGGGGTCAGTGCTACCCCAGCCTGAGGTCAACTTCCTGGAGCCCAATCAGAGCCCTGCTCCGTCTGAGGGCTCCAGTTATTACAGCGACGACAGCACCAACACCACTCAACATATGCCGGAGTTCAGTCAGCTGACGTCACCGGGCTCTGAGGTTCCCAGTACGAGTTTCCCATGGCAACATTGTAGCAATGTAAACAATGATAACTTTCCATTAAGAACTGACTCCAGCAGTTTCGGGTTAAAACACGAACATTTGAACAGATTCGACGCGGAGGACTTTGGAGTACCGAGTTCTCTACCTCGTATCCCACAGCCTCCACTCTCCACATCAGAAGGATCGTCGTTTCCATTCGTCACCTCTCCCTCCACATCTCTACCATCACCTTCATCTACGATATACTCAGTCTCAAGCCCCGGCACCCCCGGGCCCTCAGGCCCCAGCCGTGGACGCCGCCCCCACGGGTCTAGCACGCCCTACTCCTCCAAGTCAAGGAGACGCCACGTTGAGAAAGGCACCCAGGAGTACGTTGAGAAACGGGCCAGGAACAATGTGGCCGTCAGGAAGAGCCGGGCCAAGGCCAAGGAAAAACAGCGGGAAACAGAGGGGCGTGTCAAGGGTCTGCTCGAACAAAACCACCAGTTGCAGAAAAAAGTGGAACTTTTAACCAAAGAACTCAACGTCATGAAAAATTTGTTCCTCAACGTCGGTGCTTCTATACCTGACGAGTTTCTGAAATTGATTGGAGATTCTTGACACCTTTGACTATACTAGTTTCTAAATAGTTTTTGTTTTTTTAATTATTAAATGAACTGTTGCCAAATGAACATTGAAGAAAAATGTCAACAGACTGATATTGGTGATGTGGACAATGGTGTTGTTAAACTATGGTGAAGTTGACAATGATATTGCGGTGACACCACACCAGTGTGACAGGCAGCGAAGACACCACAGACACCAAACACATGCATGTTGTGTGCTCATTGCTAACTAAGCTTGTAAACAAAACGTGTATTTGTGTGTTTCTAATTTTAGAGCTGTGCTTATTGATTCAATGGCTTTTTTGTATGATGTAAATAGATCGAGTCAAACTTAGTTGTAGCACACAAGCCCACCGCTGCAAACAGTGGGCTCAGTTGGGCTCATTCAGTAGCCCATGAGAAGTGGGCTGCTTCACAAGCCCATGTAAGGTGGGCTCACTCACAAGCCCATGTGAAGTGGGCTGCTTCACAAGCCCATCAATGCAAGCAGGTGGGCGTGGTGGGTAGTTATACACTGAGACGTGTTTGTTGTTGTTTACTATGTGTGATCCCGGTTACTATAAATAACATTCATATTTTTTCTATCTACAATTCAAAACATATTTCTATTCTATTTGCTATTTTCATGATGCCATTTTCATGATGCCACACCTACTCACAGAGTGGAAGGAGAAGTTCTGCGTGTGTGTCGACCTCTGTGATCATTGTTGCTATTTTACCATTATGACATTTTTATATACATTTATTTTTCTGTAAAGAATGGGAGATGGATGGGAGGGTGAAAGATGGTGTAAGGATGTAAGATTATGTAAGATGGTGGAACCTCACAATTTCATAGACTGTACAGTGTGTATAAATCCAGTCGCTCATCTTTGAACCTGCTACACTATTCCTGTATCACCACACGTATGAATGTCACCACTGTTTACACCATATGGTGTCACCATTGAACATGGGACATTACTATAAATGCATGCCTAGCAAATCCATATATTTTGCCAAATCCAACTTCTGAAATCCACCATAGACAATATTTTCTACAAACCCAGTCCCCCGACCGTATGTGTTCATTAGTTCAAAGTTCACGCGAACAGAACAATAGTGTCTCAAATATTATGATGTATACGGTCACATGATAGGCCAAGACCAATCACTCGGCAGTATTCTCATTGACCCCTTATATACTACTGTATTACCTGGACATTAGCAAAAATAAACTCTATTTAGTACCATCACTTTGTTGTCTGTAGAATCACCACCAAGCTGTTAGTAGTACCATCGCTAATGATGTGAGTAGTACCATCACTATGATGTGAGTAGTACCATCACTATGATGTGAGTAGTACAATCACTATGCTGGTATGAGTACCATCACTATGCTGGTAAGAGTACCATCACTGTGATCTAAATCATCAACTCATGCTGTTGTTTACTGAATGATAATTTTGAGACTCTCCCCCGACATGTGATCCAAGTTTACATTTTCTTTCTATTGTGTTGGCTCTGTTTTGGAGCAAAGGTTGATATATTATAATGATAAAATATAAAATACTTTAAATGCAAACGAGTACTTTTTTTATTTTTCTATTTTTACTTATATTCGTTGTTTTTGTGTTTGTATCTACTTGGTTATTTAACTCAGAGACCAGCCTGACATTGTTGTTCACCTTTAACAACCTTATGAAACCAGACTCTATCTGAAATATACTTAAAAACAGCTCAATTTTTGTTTTGTTAATATCCTTTTTTAAAATAACATACTTTTTTATTTCACCGAAATCTAGTTCAAACCCCACATTTAAAAAGGAAACATCTTATTTCTTCCGCCCCGTGAGCAGAAAAGAGAGTTCTAAATATAGACCGAAGTACAAAATTAACTCTTTAAAAATAGGAAAACGCCGGTCATGCACTCTGTGAAATCAATTTTGTAACCCTAGGTTCTGACGTAGAGATAAAGTTGCTATAAATATGTGGGAAAATACCTCATGACGTCAAAGACATCTGCTATTGTGGGCTGACCTACATTTCTTGCTGCAGGCGAGCCAAGTATTGATTGGTTAAGCAGCGAACGTGCGCGTGAGAGCCTCGACAGATTTAGATTAGGGAACTCCAATACATTTCTTGGGTTTACATACATTTTATATATCTAGCTTGGTATACAGACATGTTTCATACTAACAAAAGCACGTTTAAATCTAAAAAAACTACGAATTCACGTTTGATTTTTGTGAACAATTGAAGTGCTTATTGACGTGTGCTATGAATTAGCAAGTTTAATTCAGTGTATTGAGCGTGTCAGACGACAGTCAAAGGAATGCGACCCACCTGTTGAGGCCCCACTAAGGTCTACTATTACGTAGACGGGGGCTCGCTTGACAAGCTGTTGCCAAAACATTTCTAGCGGAGAACTGTTTTAATAAAAGAACTTGGGGAAACATGTGGCGCATTTTATTTGTTGCGCGTAGTTTTGAGGTGTTGATCAGAATTTTATGACGTCAAGTATGAGCTCTCTTTGTCGTCATAAACTTGCTTATAGTAACCGCTGTCCGGAGCGAAAAATGCCCCTTTTTATTAATTCACATGCCTCATTGAATATGAAGTGGTCTGAATTAATGAATTAAAATCAATATAGGTGAGAGAATAAGTGTTACAGCCGATAAACAAAAATAATAATAGTCGATAAAAAGACGAATAAGCTGAAGTAATGTCTATTGAGCATGTTTGCTATTGCAGCGAGGTTCATCCGACTAACCACACTGCTGGGCCAAGGTCTGCCGACGATTCGCACCAGTCCTGTCAGTCTCAGTCAAGTGTTCTCAGACATCCTACCGGAACGACTCCCCGTGCAGCCGACAAGCTTTTTGTGACGTAATATTCAGGATTGAACAAATGTAATGTGTGTTCAGTAGGAACCATGAACACTGTGCTCTTAGCACGGAAAACATAATAAACATGTGTATTTGACAAGTTAAATTTTATTTGTAGGCATATATATATATATATATATATATATATATATATATATATATATATATATATATATATATATATATATATATATATATATATATATATATATATCACTTGTATTATTTATGGAAGCATACATATAATTATGTAAATGTTAGTATATCTATATAGATATCAGCTTACATATAGTACATCTTTATTTAAGAATGTTCAAAATATGTATTGACAGTTATTATTTTGGGACCTAAACATATAGGCCTACTGGGTTTTCTCTATACTTATAATATATATATATATATATATATATATATATATATATATATATATATATATATATATATATATATATATATATATATATATCAGTATTTGTACATCTAGGTGAATAAACTGTCCTCACTTAATTGACTGGTTGATATCCAGTCCACCTGCCTATGGTCCGTGTATAGTGCAGTAAATCTACACCGACCGACCGTACCAATTGTGTGCAAACTTGTATGTGATCATTCGCCACAAAAACGTGAGTAGAAATACGACACATTGGGGTGAGTGGCTGTAAGTAGGGCACGGTGTAAGTATGTCGTAATGTAAGCATTTTAAATATCTGACTGTATATGTGTTATCGATTTCCCTCTATGAATTGAACCTGGTGTGACCAACGGCAAATGGAGTGGGGGGGGGGGGGGGGAGCATGCCATTTAAGGGCCCACATCCGACCATAATACATTTTTTTATAGTTAAATTATTTTTATTTTCTTGCATTTTTGAATTGATGGTTGTTTTGTAAAAAGATTACTGTAGCTGCGGTTGGATTACCTTTATTCTATAGAAACCACCCCACGCGTTTGTATATTCTTTTTCCCTTTGTTTTTAAATCACTGTGAAAGCCGAGTCCTTTTTCTCCGACAATCAAACTTATCAAAGATAAGCAAACGTTCAAACCACGTCCATGCTTTATTTCCCTTTTTCAAATAGTCAAATAGGGGTGCTCATAAGCTCCTTTTAATAGATTTTTACTAAACAAATTAAAAAGTTGTCCTCACTCCCAATTATCCCCCGCTGAAGTAGTATAATATTATTTTGTCTGTCTGTCCGTCTGTCCGTCTGTCTGTCCGTCTGTCCGTCTGTCTGTCCGTCTGTCTGTCTGTCTGTCTGTCTTTCTGTCCGTCTGTCCGTCTGTCTGTCCGTCTGTCTGTCTGTCTGTCATGTCTGTCTGTCTGTCTGGTAATCAAATCACGCACCCGAGGTTTGACCGTGCCTGCAGCTTTGAGTTGCAGTTAAGTTTATCTCCGATGACAACACGAGAATATCTCATGTTCAATGTAATTAGATATTAAATTACCCATAGACGATCGGTGTTAAGATTACTGTAAGAAAGTCAGGTGAGAGAACTAACTAGTTACGTTCAAGCGATCAGACAGTTGACCTGGTATTGATTGCTAGGGGGGGGGGGGGGGCAGGTAATACCTAGGTACTGTTTTTTAAATAGGCGAATTTTAGTAGCAAGCATACTTTTTTTGTTCGTATTGGACATCAATTAAAATAAAGCGGGAGTAATCTTCCCTCAGCGTTTCTTCCTGACTTATTTCTTCGGGGAAGGGTAGGGGTGGAGCTCCCCCCTAAGAGATACCTGGAAGAAACTCTAATATAACGCTATGGGGGATGGCAACTTGGGATATAGTATAGATATAATTTTTAATCAATTTCTAAATACTTAAACTTTAAAAATTAGAATAGAATCTCGAAGAAAAAAAAAGAACGGCAAACAATATATATATAACAGTGCGGAATATTAATACTTAATAAATTCATATGCGCATTTTGAGAAATCGGAAATAGACTAAATTACTACTTCCGGTCAACGGAAATTACTCAAAATTTAAAAGAAGAAGGCAGAGAATTAAATCTTTAACTTACATGTGAAATTTCATTTATCTATCTGAAACAGTACTCAAGTTATAGGTTTTTGAAAAATTGAAAGAAGAATAAGTCCCAATTCCGGTTATCGGAAATCACTGAAAAGTTGATACAGAACTACAAATTTGATATAATACTTATCTATATATATAATTCTCTTCTGGGAGACGCTAGAAAACAAGATGTAAACGTGCTCCCTACCACCCCACCCCTACATGGTCTGGTGAGCTGTGGTTCACTCTAAATGTTTACAAACAGAGCCGGGTTTAGTGACGACTATTAGGGGCAGATAATTTAGTTTGAAACGATTTTAAACGTGGGGGGGGGGGGGGTTAACTAAGTGGAGTTTACTTTAACGGAGGGGGGGGGGGGGTTATCGTCCTTAACGAGCTACTTATAGTGTTTTAAAGAAATATTTTCAGTGGCAGCGTTGGTAGTGTCGAATTCACAAATTATGAATTACTGAAAAGTAGAAAAAGCAACAACTAAATAGTGGCGTATGATATGCCGCGGGTCGGCTCGTATATAAAATTTCATCAACCTAGCTGTAAACGGTACTCAAGTTATCGTGTTCACAGACTTACATACACATACACACACACGGACAAAATTGCAAAGGACTGTTTTTCCGACTCGATTAGGCGTAAAACGCCGAAATTTTGATAAATTGGTTTTATTATTTTTGCCTGATTGATAAACGGCGAAATCTGTAAAAATTTCATATTTTTGTGCACGATTACAATACTTCCTCTATACTCTGTATAAGAGAAAGGAAAAAACAATTCGCTTGTGATGAATGGGAGAAGTGTTCGTTTTAATTAGTAATTACCCAGCTGTTTTGTATTAAAACTCTAAACCTAAATAACAACAAAATTTAAGTTTATTTAATATATAGACAACATGTATGAAGCTGTATGGCTAATAATGTTAGTCGCTGTACACAATTTAACACACATGCAAGTAATTAGGTTGAAAAAAAAATTCTGTTCGTCACCCTTTTTTTAGTGCTGTTATACAGCTTGTTTGTATACACAGTGTTTCCTTCATTTCTTTTATTTTCTTTGTTCTTAAGGTATCCGGTCATTCCTACCGTGAGCGACTGCTCTAGAAACACACTGCAGTGCCGACCAATTGTTTTAGTGCTGACCAATTGTTTATTGCTGACCAATTGTTTTATTGCTGACCAATTTTTTAGTGCTGACCAATTTTTTAGTGCTGACCAATTGTTTTAGTGCTGACCAATTGTTTTAGTGCTGACCAATTGTTTTAGTGCTGACCAATTTTTTAGTGCTGACCAATTTTTTAGTGCTGACCAATTGTTTTAGTGCTGACCAATTGTTTAGTGCTGACCAATTTTTTAGTGCTGACCAATTGTTTTAGTGCTGACCATTTGTTTTAGTGCTGACCAATTTTTTTTAGTGCTGACCAATTGTTTTAGTGCTGACCAATTTTTTAGTGCTGACCATTTGTTTTAGTGCTGACCAATTGGTTTAGTGCTGACCAATTGTTTTAGTGCTGACCAATTGTTTTAGTGCTGACCAATGTTTTAGTGCTGACCAATTGTTTTAGTACTGACCAGTTGTTTTAGCGCTGACCAATTGTTTTAGTGCTGACCAATTGTTTTGTTTTAGTGCTGACCAATTGTTTTAGTGCTAACCAATTTTTTTAGTGCTGACCAATTTTTGTGTGCTGAC